ATGTGGATTCATGCTTTAATTTTACATCACCACCCTCAGTGTAGCCTTAGCTTTATGATGGTACCAAATTTAGCTGCTACTTTTTGCAACTTTTTGAGCTAGACGCACTTTTATTAGTCTTGTTTTCGTACATTTGAGATTTAATTAGAGCAAACCGCAAATCAGAGGGATGTACGCGCGTCTACTCAACCAGTTCATGCAGGCGTGGGAAAAGCTCTCCAAAAATGTACAAACTGCTCATGATTTAACAGTAGCAAATCTTCTAATATTGTGTTGCTGTTTAGAATACTTTATTAAATTTTGAGCAGCCTAATAATCCAAATATCATATATCATAATGAAAATGATATCTACAAGCAGGCCTATATCTAGGCGTCAATTTTTTTTAACTTTATTCAAAGACATCCAAGATTGTGAAAAGCTTCCTGTTTCAACTTAAGGATAGGTGAGCTACTACGCGAGTAGTAACGACCTTCCCAGCAAACAATAATACGTTATGATAACGTGACAATAACGTTACAGTTTTGGGTTGAAAACTTTATTTTGTAGAACCATAAATACGTACTGAACATAATTGCACAACGTTTATACGTTCCTACAACGTTGTGTAAACGTTATTTTGTGACGTACCTAACCACAACATTGGCCAAGAAAGTTATAAGAACGTAAACACGTGTTTGCCGGGTTTTTAAAGAAAATAACTCGTGGCTTGACAGCAGGATTCCATTTTCTGATGAAGTTATTAATGTTTTGACACAGAACACATATATTCTTTGCAAGGGGCGTTCAAGAAGAATCGATTTTAAAGTTCACTAATATGTAGAAAATACATACACATTATATTTCTCTCTGACGAAATGTAGTTTATCTCCCCAACGCCGGGGGGTGGGGGGACCTCTCCTCGAAGAGGACCCTGCCCCTTCCCCTCCCCCTGCTGGCATCACCCCTGAGGCGCAAACCGCAATCGTTCACGACAGATGAAACATTGTCCACCTTTGTAGTTCTATAGTAAAATGAGACGCCTCCTTACACCAAAATAAGTGTAGCAAAAAAGCATTGCTATCCTGGTGATACAGTATACCTGTCAAAGACGATACCAAACGTTCCTCTTCAAAGCCTCCTCATTCACACTGAGAATTATCAAAAAACATAAAACGACCATTATCGATACTTTTACAATATAGGCCTAATATGATTGAGGAGGGAATTAATATATCATGACATCGGTGTAGGCCTAATGTCTGATAATTCCATAGAATCTCAAATGCAAACACATTTTAAATTTAAAAAATATAAATTTTGATTTAGATTTCGATTTCGATTTATTAAAAAAAATCTATATTCACTGTAAGATTAACAATAGAAATGTTAATGATTATCTATGCCTAAAACACTTTTGGCCCCGTCGAATCAGAAAAATGTATTTTGATGACGTCATGGAAAATACAAAAAGTTTCCACAGAAGTTCTTTTGTCCTAAACCTCCTTAAACATTTCAAAAATCATTGCAATATGAGCTTGTTTTGGTATTACAATGAAAACTGACATCGTCCAATCAGAAAACAGTACAAAAATGACGTCATATAGATTTGAAAATGCTTTTATTGAATTCTACGGGTATGAAGACCTTTAGATAAGTCTTGTATTCGGTTATACTGTATTTGCTTCTGTAATGAGTAAAATTAATTTTGGCACACTTTGACTTCAGTCTGGCCCACTGTGCGCTGGAAGGATACGAGGAACAAACAAGTGGAGTTAATTTTCTTGGTTGTTAAGATGCTTGCCTTCAAATTCCAGTATCATGCGTTCAATTTTTGTCATGGTAACAATGACTTTCTCACACCAAAACCAACTTAACTCCGTAAGCCTCAAAATAAGACTTACAAGTCGTCGTATAGGGCATCCTTCCTTGTATTTGTCTTGTGAAGGATTTTGCAACTTTGAAGACTTGACTATGTTCACTGTTTGGCATATCCTTAGATATTGTGTCTAAAGATGAAAAATTTAATTGTTCATTATTAACTATGGTTACAGTTAGGCCTATGTATATTAATGCTTATATCAATGCCTAAATATAATTATGTTGAGCATAACTTGCATTAATGTATTATGTTTTCATTTGATAATGCCATCATAAAAAGAATGTTGTGAATAAAACGGCTTTAAAAGGACGGAAACTAGACTATGTGTTTTTGTTTTTTTTCCCCCAAAGAGCTACAACGGTGCTATTAACAAGGTCAGGAATGACATGGGATGCGGAGTTGTTTTGGCGAAAGTCACCTAGCTACGGTCACACTAGAGTTTCAAGCCTGGCTTGACTCACCGCGGGTGAGATTTTCGTAATGTGACCGCATCTGCACCGACTCGCGCCTGGCGTGACCTCGATCTCAGTCTACCTATCTCGATCCCGGCTCAGCACCCATATTGACCCTGGATTGACCCTGGCGTGACCGAGATTGACATTTCCTCGTCGGCCGTCGACCAATCACAGTCGATGACGCCGTGCGTTTAGAAGTTCTTGAATAAAAAACCCGCGAGTTCTTCATGTGTGTTCATATTATTGGTTCAATCAAGACGCAATCATTACTTTTCATAAAAGTTAATTCAAATTTTAATTAATAATAAGGCGATTGATTTGGAGCGACCAGGAAACTGCTGACCTGGTAGATTTGTGGGGCCAACCCGAGCTGAGAGATCAGATAGAAAATAAAAAAAACAAACAACAAAACGGGAATTTTTGGCGTGCTTGCTGACAGATTAGACAGTCTCGGACATGAGAAGAGAACGACGGCCCAAATTCAACAAAAGTGAAGGCATTGCGAGCCCAGTACAAGCTGATAAAAGATCAGTTGAAGAAGAGTGGTTCGGGCACGTCTGGTGTTCTTTGATTGCGATCCACCCAATCACACGCGCGTATATCGAATCCCGTGAAATAGAGTTGGCCAAACTCTCTCTTTACGGCTCTGCTGTTTCGACTTTCACAATTTGGAGGTCAATCCAACTAGTGGGACCGACCCAGAATTTCGAGCCTGGCTTGAAATCTCACCCGCGTTGAGTCAAGCCAGGCTTGACGCTAGTGGACGAGTGTAAACTCAAGTGACTTTCCGTTTTATTGCGTCCCTTGGGTATTGTTGCAAAGCTCCTACAAAATGACAGCGTAAACGTACGCAGACACATGGGTTTGTAGCGCAACGTGTGTGTTTTGTGGGACAAGCACTTTCGAACACCAATAATATTCCAAGGAAATCCAAAGACATATTTCCAGTGAGATCCTTTTTGTGGTGAGTATTATAAGTATAAAAGCATATCTGCCTTTAAACTATTTAGGAAAGTGGGAAGATGAACCAAAAATATCAATAATATCAGAATGATTAGCCCCATCCCTTTTAGTTTGTTTATTTATTAAGATATTTAGCCAGGATGACACAATAATTTTCAGAAATGTTTTTCATTGTGCTGTGTTCCCACAAAACATAGTGCGTTATTAGAACAAGAGTCTTAGTGGTACAAATGCGTATCCCTATAACGTTTGTATCAAGGTGATGTCAATAAGAGCTGCGTAGATGATTTTTTTTTTGCTATGGTGTGTGATAAAAAGATACTTTCTTATAGATTACGAGGTTGGTTTTTAAGAAAATCAATGTTAATCACCTTAATTTTTTTTATCTTAGAATTTGGTTAGATAAACCTTTATCTATACAACTACATTTGTATGACCTAATATGTCGCTATCTTTAATGCGCAGATTATATTTGTTGATGTCCAAATCAATAATTCTTAAATAATATTACTGTATTTGAAGAATTTTGAAACGCAAGTAAATTTATATTAATATTAGATATACGTAATATATTATTATATTCAAATACAACATAGTGTAATAGGTCTAGAGTATTTACTTTTGTTTACAGTTTTTCTAATTTACCAGTTTGACATCGTAGGCATTATATACACAGTACATCATTTCGTTTGGCGGAACTGTCATTAAGTGGGTGCTTTGTGTTCACAAATTTAATATATTCATAGCACTCTAATAATTTAGCCAACAATGGGAGTTTCATTTAGGATCAAATATTTTACCTTGGGTAATCTGTTTAATGGTACATATTACTAAAGTAATAGCTTACCATTATTGTAATCACACGTTTGTCACAGGAAATAAAAAGAAAGTATTTCATACGGTCTTATTATTAAAGTAAATTTGGACCTAAACCAAATAACGACCTTCTTAAATCAACCGCGGAGCAGTGTTAATGGAATCAAAATGTATAATAATATGAGTTCTGATAAATGTATGAGCCATTCTTAATATGAGCATCTTAAAGTGTTTGTTATTAACCTCGGACTACATTGTCAGTGTTATAGGCCTATGTGTTACTGATGTTGGTTGTTATTTTCATTGACTTTTATTATTAAAAGAAACTGTGATGATACCAATGGCCAACATCGGAGAAACAATTGACAGTACTGTACTGCATCTTATTATTAGCGTGTCTTTAGCAGTGGTTGCCTTGTCAATCTTGTAGTCTATTCTTAAATTTGTATTTTTACCAACATCTAAAAATCAGCAAAAAAATTATCATTGTTACTGAGTTTGCATCAATTAAATTCACAAACTGAATTTATGGCTCTGGTAGTAAATTTATTGTATGTGGTTATATTAATGTAATGTACTGTATTTGGATTTATATAGCCCTTTATAACGAAGTCTCAAAGCGTTCGAACTCGTGTTTGTCTACCCGGTAAACCGATACAGGGGATGTAGGAACTAGTAAAGCGGGGTAACCTCCACCCCATACTTGTCTCAAAAGATGTACTGGTTTCTGTAATGTGCACATGAGCAAGCTTGTCCTTATCCGCGAAGACTTCTCCGAATCAGAGCCGGTATTATAGCAATACTTTGCGGGGCCACTGCATGCTCTAACCGCCCGGCCATTCAAATCGCCTGCTAAAAATATTATTAAACAGAACACAAATCAAACTATTACCAGTACTCAAAGCATTAGCATTAAATTCTTTATTCATTTACAGTACATTTTTAGCCTCTAGATTTGTGTATTATTAGGAAACAAAAAGTTCGCTGCTTAAACCAAACAATATAACTTTTTTAAATAATGCGCAATGGAAGAATACTAAGAGTTTATATTTCTATAAAGATATAAATTTGCGTCACGAAAATATCATGGAGTGATGTTGTGCCCTACCTGACGTGCTATCGTACCGAATACTCAGTACGTCCCCAAATACTAGTGATATATATATATATTTATATATAGTGTATATATATATATATATATATATATATATCGTTATAATTTTTTTTAAAGCTGATCTATATAGGCATATTTCAAGTGGTTTTATTGGGTCTGCGCAAGGAGAACCCCAGAACATCATTGCTGTTTTTGTTGTTCTTGTTACCAGAGATTTAAAAGCGTCCAGCGTCGCGACGTGCAGGATTTTTTTTTTCACATAAACTAGAGGTGATTTTAGGTGAACCCCAGGATGCCCATACACCTACAAACAAAACAAGAGTTTCAAAAAGACTGTACATTACGGCCATTACCATTAATAGAACACTTCGCATGGATGGCGCGGTCGGTAAGCGTGTTTTAATGCAGCAAAATGTCGTGAGTTCGAATTGCGTCTTATTATTCACTTTTAATTTTTTTCATTTCAATTTAGAACATTTTATTTTTATTTATTTTATTATTTATTTCTGTTATGAACCCTTGCCGAAAACCCAATATGATAACCTAACCTACTGTATTTAAGCATAGGGAATATTTGCTGTATGATTTAAGCATATTTTAATAGCGTCAACAAAAAGCATAGTCTAAAGATGCATACACGAAGCGTTAAACGATGAATAGAAATAACCTCGGTTAACGTGCGGACCGATGACCGGTTGCTCTTGACTTCAATGTTAATTACGTTAACATAATTTTCATTACCAGTTTACAAATATTAGAAAATGTGCAGAGGTTTTAACTAGTTTTTAGGATATTTGCTTTGTCCCAAGTTCAAGTTCGAATACGATTCCAGCGCGAAAAATGATCAATGTGGACGGTTAAAACCGCCTTACAAAAAATATTTAAATAAGTACAGTATTCATAATTTGCTGGGTTTATCCAAGTACCTTCAGAAAATAGAAAATTCTATTCAAAATATATAAAGGATTATCACAATTGTCATTAAAGATTGTAAAACATAGGTCTAATCATTAAAACAAAAATTTATTTAATACATCAAATTAAGATCGCCTGGACCCTTTATATTTCTTATATTTTCTATTATGTTTTTGTATTTATCTTCGCACATCATCTAGGCCCATATACTCGTCTCCATCAAATGCGGACACGTCGATGGTTTGTTGATTACTGCGAATAACACCGTTAATGTCCCTGTACAAACTGTTAAACGATGGTCGTCGGTCAGGTGTAGCTCGCCAGCAGGTCTCCATAACCGTGAATCTGAAATCACATATTACGTAAGCCATAAGGATACGCATTACGTTTATAAACTGGTTGTTGTAAATCATTGTAATACTGTAACAA